CCCCCCCCACCTCTAGGCCCACCTTATTGTATTTAATAAGTGATCCCATGTTAATCCTATGACATAGACATATCATTACTGCTCTCCATTTTATTATTAAACAATATTTTACAGAAATATGAATGAAATTAATTTTATAATTAACATTACAAAAACATACTCTTTTGAACAAGTATTTAATTAACCCTCGGCGCGTTGGGTGGCAAACTTTGAAATTTAATTAAAAATTATCCTTTGATTTGATTGTTATATAAATTCAGAAATGCCTCAAGACTATTCTAATATAAATATTTATAAAGTTATGGCTATAAGAAATAATGATCAGAATGATTAATTTAAGTTTATCACGATTATTAGGCCACCATACACGTAACGTAACTTTGTATTTCACGGTGTAATTAGTGCATTTGCTTATTTTTAGGCCACATTACACGTTACTCACATGATTTTTATAGGCCACCCTACACGCCGAGTAAATAAAATTGTAATAGTGCATGTTTTATCACCAAGGAAACCTATTGATAATACTTCATATTGTTATTGTTCATATATTATAAGCTAAACAACTATTGATAACTCTCTGGAAATGTTTGTCTTATAGTGAATAACAAATCATTGTTTTTATTAAATTACTTATAAATGGTGTCATAATTGAGTTTTACTAATGTATAAATTACTTATTATTTGATTATAAGGTATCATAATTTATTTATTATTTACATAATAATTTATTGTTATAATTATAGCGTGTATTGAATATAAGTTTATTATTATAATTTTGCTATGATTATTACATATATATTTATTTGTGTTTATTTAGATAATAGTGTTACAAAATGTCTATACAAATAACAAATCCCGATGTGAATGATATCATAGATGATTGTGAGGATAATGACAGTGATATGAACTGAATGCAACTGAAAAAAGTGGACACAATAGTGATTCTGAATTTGAATTGGATAATGAATCAGTTATGCCACCTTACACGTAACGTTTACATTGTCACCCAACGCGCTAAGGGTTAAATAAAAATATTGAAAAACAGAATATAACTATTAAAATTCAATGCCTCGTGCCGTGAAATCATGCCTTACATTAAAGCAAGTATTAATTTCATACGTATTACATTTTGAATATAAAAATTCATGTTAAAACCATATTGCAAACCACCTGGGCACATCAGATTATACTAAATAACGAATTATTGCATATAACTGAAGAGTGAAATAAAAATTCAATCATTAGATATCAGACTAAAGCAAAGCAAAGTACAATTTACTTGAACGATAACTACAATGCGCGCGGCAACAATCTTTCTACTCGTGGCCGTTTTGACCATCAGCACCTATATGGTGCATGCTGATCCTATTCGTGCGTATTGGGTCATGTGCTAAAAAGTAAAATTAATTTATTATTATGTTTTTCACTACTGTTTAGCCGAACCGGAGGCGAACCCGAAACCCGGGGCAGACCCGGAACCCGAGCCATACCCCGACCCCGAGCCATACCCGGAACCCATGCCAGACCCAGAAGCTGAGGCGAGTCCCGTCTATGTTGACGGATGATATGTGTGTATAAATTGCTATACGATGGTCTTTAAAGCTATATATTGTTTAAAATTATATAATATTTTATTTGATCAGCATACTTTTATAGACAAAATGTTTCTGTATTTTTAAATAAACTATTTTCACTTGATATGATGCCATCATGATAATTAAAATTTTATTTATACAATTTTATTAATATTCATGATAACACTTTGCATTATGCACTAAAATTTTGCTTTATTCATGCTAAACCTTTGGCATAGGATTAACATGAGCTAGATGTAAGTTCGCTTTCCATATTAAACACCACATTATTGTATTAAGCATTATTGGAGGTAATTGTAGGTGATTTAGACTGTTGAGCAAGGGCAAAAATGCAAGTAACTTTTATACTATTTATGCGGTTTTAAGTCAACCCAAATGCCGATCACATTACTCAAGGCATGGACTTGTCATTACTTTTTCCGTCAATTACTACAGTTTTACGGAAAATTTAATTTTTCAAAAGTTTCTTAAAAATAATACTTATTCTATAAAAATAATTGATTTAATTATTTTAAGATTTTATATTGTTTAAAAATCAAAATTTAAATTTCCGTAAAAATGTCAAAATTGGCGGAAAAAGTGATGAACAAGTCTATGCGTTGCCTAATGTAGTCGGCATTTGAGTTGACTTAAGTCCGCATAAATAGTGTAAAACTGCTGTCTATTTTTGCCTATTCATTAAACATTACTACCATTATAAATTTTAATTTAAAAAATGCAATTTATTTTGCAAACAATTTTATTTTATCATTGTTCATCTAGGATCTAGATTCTAAGACATTTTTAGATTGTGTAGTTATGCTATAACAGTATAATTAAAATTTACACAAAACAATATAATTATATGCATTTTATTAGTGTTTTGTTGTAATTTTTACATTTATTATTTCTAAATTATTATTTTTAATACGGTTTTGCAATATTTTTACGCAAATATGGTTTGAATAAAAAATGGTTTAAATATTAATGATTATCAATTATAAAATGTAAAGTGAATTAAAATCATACATTTTATTAAGCTATATTATTTTTAAATTAGTAATTTATTTTGTAAAAATATAATTATTATCCATTATTATCAGTATTTATTATCTCAACAATAAACTGGTGGCCATTAAAAATAAAATAACTTAACAACCATGATAGATAGAAAAATTTTCTTAATTAGTTAATTTATCTCTATTATCTATAGAATGATTTTGTAAAGTCACCTAGTTTGAGAGTTTTTATTTTAAAAAATTATTGGAGACTAAATTATGAGTTTATTTGTATTTTTGTTAAAATTTTATGAATTAAAAATCTAAACAAATTTTAACCACAATTTACACATAAAGAATGTGGTTTATAACATCTCAACACTACCCCCGCACCTTCTTGCCCACCCAATGGAATTTAATAAAGCATCCCATGTTAATCCTATGACATAGATATATCATTACGGCTCTCTATTTTATTATTACACAATATTTTATAGAAATATTAATAAAAGTTTAACTTCTTAATTAATTAACATTACAAAAAATACTCCACTGAACACGTATTTAATTAAATAAAAGTTTTGAAATACAGAATATAAGTATTAAAATTCAAAAAAGTTTAAACCATATTGCAAACCAACTGGGCACATCAGTTTATACTCAATAGTTAATTATTACATATAACTGAAAAGTGGAATAAAAATTCAATCATTAGATATCAGACTAAAGCAAAGTGAAGTACAACTTACTTGAACGATAACTACAATGCGCGCGGCAACAATCTTTCTACTCGTGGCCGTTTTGACCATCAGCACCTATATGGTGCATGCTGATCCTATTCGTGCGTATTGGGTCATGTGCTAAAAAGTAAA